AACGGAACGAGTCTATGAATTATGCATACATAATCCCTTTCAACTGTTTCAATTTAACATAGTTTTCCTTGCATAATCTATGGAGGTTTATGCATTATAGCCTATCGACATCATAACATTTTATACGACATAACTCAACATAGCATAAATCATAACATGACATAATAGTATAACATAGCATCGCATATCATTCATACATATGACGCGTTCCCGCATATGCTTGACATTCCTCAATCGCTTTCCAATTCCATCATTAACTTGGCCTTACCTATTCGATACCTACTATCTTCCATTACAAGCTTTATTATTCTTCTAACCAATGTTCTTAGGTGTCGTGATATAAGAACAATCTAAATCAAAGACTCCATCTATCCGTCAGTTGCATTGTCAGTAAGTACAAGCATGTGCACTTTATTTGTCCTTCTTCTTGGATGTCATGTAGGTCTACTAGAATTTTAGGGGTGTCTATGCATTTTAAATTACGACTCTTGTTTTCATGACGTTTTGGGCTAACTCTTCAAGCTAATCCATTCTCGTAGTGCACACAAGTCTAGACCTTTGATCGCTACTTATGATCTTAGGGTGTAGGATTTACTGGAAGCATACCGACCTAGGTCAACATGTAAATTGCTCTAGATGTAACACCCTACTTGATTCTCTTGTGCATACTTTGCTATGGAGATTATCCTATCGATCACCTAGAGCATGGTACACATAATCTAGACATTTGTGCAAGCTTATTAAGGAGATATTCTATTAATCATCCAAAGCACTTAAAACAAAAACTAAATCATACATGTCGACAAACAAGCTCAATGGGAAGATAACATTCATCCATCATCTAGAGCATAGATCACAATAGTTCATCATTCTTTCTAACATAATGGAAATCATTTAAAACAATAAGGGTATGGTAATTTCTTACCTTTTACATAGTTTACTCATCCATATTATCCGACTCACTGGACTGGACTCTTAGAATAGACTCTTATGGTCCATAAAGGTTTATGTTGTAGAGAAATGCACGTGGCGTAAATAATATCCCTTTAATCTTAGGAAGTTGCATGATTTAGTAACAATAGGAAGACTAGAACACTTGGTACGACTTCTACTCCACCCGGAACTCCGAAGGCTTTTGCTTTTGATACCAATGCCCTAAGAAAGAGATCTATTATAGCTAAAATTCACATGAGATTATTAAACCTCTCGTGAGGTGCAGTTTGTGTTCTGATCATGAGTTTATAATCAAGGAATACTTTCTTCATTGGTATGAGATCTTTTGGAGAAGTCCAAAGCAAAGTTATGAGAGCTTATACTCAAAATGGACAATATCGTACCATTGTGAAAAGTTGTGTTCAATAACCATCTATAATTACACTAACAGGTACGTCAAAGGCTTTAAATACCTGGTTCTTCAAATCCATGAACACAACATGGGTAGTGTGCATTTGGGCCTAGGCCTTTCTATACATTTGAATGTGGGAATTGGGTTAGATACTTGGAGTATCTATATCAAACAGATCCCTTGGATTGCTTATTCCTCACATGTCACTCGAGGGTTTCAATTCTTCTCCTCCAACGAACACAACACCGGTGAGACTCTTCCGGTGGTAGATCCAAAAGCTCCATCAATTCCAACAACTCATTAGTGATATTGTGAATTTAACCATTGGGTCGATGAATAAGTCAAGACCTTACCCGACTCAAGACTCAGTTAAACTAATTCGTTCACTTATTTTTTAACTATTACAAAACATAGCCTAAAACAAATTGATTTATTTGTTTTCTAACCTTTTAGAATGATTTCAAAACTATAATCTCATAAGACTTCATGAAAATAAAAATAATTATTAAGAATTTTTGGAGGAAAACAATTACCATCTTTTAAAATTAAAATAAGAAATAAAATAGTTATGAAACTCTGACCAACCGTATCTGAATCAAATGAATCAAATAACTAAGGTTCTATGATAACCATTTGATTTTTGCCTTATTTTCTCATATTTTCTCTACGATCCATTCAAATATTTATTAAAAAAAAATGAAAACTATATCAAAGAATATGATTAGAGAAAATAAATTTAAAAAACTAAAAATTAAAAAAAAAAAAAAAAAAAAAAAAAAA